AACCCTACTTCAAACTCCTTCACAATTTTCATAAAGCTCTTTTCATGATCTTGGCGCTGATTGTTTTTTCCTTTGCTCTCCTGTCTAATTGGTTCTGCGGCTGATTAACGCCGATCATTTCCACCTGGTTCCTCTGCTATTTATGTGTTCTTGCTTTCCATCAGCACCAGGTTATTCGAGCAGTTTGGTGAGACTAACTCTAGCTTTCTGACGTCTGTTCTGTTTCCCTTATTGTGATGAGGTTCTGCCCTGTGGATCCTGAGTCTAGTTTGTCTGATTCCTTGATACTACCAGCTTTTGAACCTGGACTTGTCTTCTGACTCCCGCTTTGAATTTCCCCATCAAGAACACTGTTGCTGCTCGGCGTCGGCTGGCGTCTGCTCCGCTCTCTCTAGGAGCTCTGGGGGCGGCACCCGCCGCAGGCTGGGGATTAACCTCCCGTTTGGATTCAACTCTTTCCTCTGAGGCCCCGTCCACACCAAGTCAAAACGAACACGAAACGCTGATATTTTCCAAAACGTTTGTCGTAAAGACGGAGACGTAAAATAAATGTGAGCGTCCACACGAATGCATGAAAACGCTGCAAAATGTATGCCAGGCCTGTAAGTGGCGCTGTGGTGCCAAAGCGAAAATAGGCGACGAAATGTTGGGCATGCACACTAATATTTATACATGGTTGCCCTGCGGGTCCATTTGCGTGGTTTAGTCAAATTCAGGTGCTGAACTATGTGGTCGATATTGCTCTGTTCTTCCTGGAGATATTCCAGAAGAAGAAGATTCTGTTGTAAGCCCGACAGCAGGGTGAGTAGCATGAGCAGCAACCATTCAACACAGTACGGCGCCATTGTTGTTGTGATACTGTGTCGCGCATGCGTGTTTAGAGGCGACGCTATGACGCATGCGTGTAAGAAAAAAAATGCGGTTAGAGCTTAAAGATGGAAACGCGAAAACGGCGTTTCAAAATCTTCCCACTCTGAAGGCTGAATAAAAAAAAGATCGTTTACAGACCCCCGAAACGCCGGCTTCGTATGGATGAGAGGCTGGTTTGGTGAAAAATTTGTGCGTTTAGGGCAGGGGTCGGCTTCGTGTGGACGGGGCCTGAGAACAAACTGAACTGACTGAATCAGGTCAGTGACTTTGCTCCAAGTCGTGATCAGCCCGACTATCCAGTCACTGACCTGTATCTCTTATCTCTGCAAAGATTCGCCCCGAAGCTGACGAGCAGCCCGCGCTCCTGTTTGTTCTAATAAACGTTTTGAACTTTCCCACTGCTTCTCGCTTTGAATTCAGAAATCATTACAGCTCTGTCTTCCGTATTAACTGCTCATTATTATGCAAATGTTGCACTAATGTTCTTTAGCAAACCATCACGCGTTTACAGAAGAGCTGCATTCATTCCACAAAGCATAAATGGAAAAAAAAGGTGAACTATCAACTATTTAATTTCAATCAAAAGAAAACTGTCAGCATCTAATCATAGCATCAAAGAAAGGCTGTCTGTAAACCAAGGCAAGCTCTGCATTAAGTCTGAGAACTACTGAAGATACTGTAGATAGCAGGATTATTTTAAGAGAGAACCATGGAGGAGAAAATCTGAATAAAACATGACCTTGAACTAAATTAGGAGTAAGCAACACAAAGTTAGTGTTTTCATTAAAAATAAAATGGTGTTAGATTCTAATATGGTTCATCAAGTCCAAAAAAAGGAGAGAGCAACAGCTGATTTGAGTAAAATAAAGTTTTTTTTTGTTGTTTTTTTATTGACACAGTCCACTGACTGATGTGAAGCTATGAGGATTCCACAAATCCTCACTCATGTCATCCAGAGAGGTAGATAATGTTCCTTTTCTATATCCGGGTCGTTTGTGTCACGCTGGGTGAGCCAAGATAAAAAAAAAACAGCCCTGAATTGTAATTAACTTATCCATCCATCCATTTTCCGTCACGTTTTATCCCTACTGGTGTAGCGAGGGGTGCTACGGATGAGAGGCGGGGTCCACCCTGGACAGGTCTTCCAGTCCATCGCAGGGAAACACAGAGACAAACCAGACAAACAACCATTCACTCACACCTAAGGAGGATTTAGAGATGCTAATTAACCTAACAGTGATGGTTTTGGACTGTGGGAGGAAGCTGGAGTACCCTGAGAGAACCCACGCATGCTCAGGGAGAACATCTGAATAAAACATGACTTGGAACTAAAATAGGAATAAGCAACACTAAGGCTACGTTCACACTGCAGCCTGAAGTGACCCAATTCCGATTTTTTTGCCCATATGTGACCTGTATCTGATCTTTTTATTACAGTCTGAACAACACAGATCTGATCTTTTCAAATGCGACCTGTGTCTGTACGGCCAGGTCGCATTCATCCGACCTACACGTCATTGATACTTGACAAATGTTACTAAACGTTACTAATCTGCGTCCTACTAAGCGGAGGCGGGAAAAACTAACAACCATGGCGGAAGATAACACAGAGAGCAGTCAATGGAGAGAAAGTGAGGTTGCTGACTTAATTCATATTTGGAAAGATAGCTCGATTCAGACCAAACTTGAAGGGTCTTATCGGAACCGGGGGAGGGTCTTTCTTTTTGATCTTCTTAAAAAGATTTCGTTTGTAATGTGCCTGCTCCTGTTGGAGAAGAACTTAAAGAACGCAATATACGCTGCGGTATTACGAGTCATGTTTACTTCCGCAAACACTGAGGACGCTTGCTACATGTGACGTCATCGCATCCTCGAGTGCGCATGCGGGACACTTCGGTTGAACGCTTTCAGTTCACACAGTAGATCACAAAAGTAGATTTCACAAAAAAATCGGAATTGAGCATTAAGGCCTGCAGTGTGAACGTAGCCCAAGTTAGTGTTTTCATTAAAAATAAAATGGTGTTAGATTCTAATATGTTTCATCAAATTTTTATATTTTAAATTCTTAAAATCTTCAAGTGTTTTACACTCATAAAAAGGAGAGAGCAACAGCTGATTTGTGTAAAATAAAGTTTTTTTTTTACTGTTTTTGTTTTTTATTCACACAGTCCACTGACTGATGTGACGCTATGATGATTCCAAGAATCCTAACTCATGTCATCCAGAGACACTCACACCTAAGGAGGATTTAGAGAAGCCATTTAACCTAACAGTCATGTTTTTGGACTGTGGGAGGAAGCCGGAGTACCCGGAGAGAACCCATGCATGCTCAGGGAGAACATGCAAACTTCAGGGCCGGGAATTGAACCCAGAACCTTCTTGCTGCAAAGAAAACGTGCTACCCACTGCCCCACTGAGCAGCCCACTGTGATTAATTCATACTTCTGTTATCATCTGTTCATTAGTGGAAAGCCACCAGAGCGCCTTCTGACCCACTTCTTCTCAGTTTAGCAAGGCAGCTGCTCCAACCGCCATGACCTTAATTTGTCCCTCCACATGGACACGTCTTTTGCTCTGCTGCTGTTAATGATGAGATGTTTTCTAAAGAAGACCTCTGAAAACAAAGATTTGGGAGAAGATGATTATAATGTGAAGCAGGAGGAATTCATTTAAAGTTTCGTGCTCTCAAAGCGCGGACATGAAAAGCTGAGAATAAACTTTTATTTTGGTTTCCTTTTCGATCTCAAACATCGAATTTCATAATTTTCTCCTTTTTTTTTTTATTCCCCTCTTATTCTCGAGTCACGACTGCAGAGCTCAGGTTAAAAAGAGAAATATCAGAGAGATGGATGGAAAATAGAAATAGAAAATACTTTTTACGCACAAAGGAGATCCTTTTTTTTTTTCTAGAATAATAAAGTATGAAGTCAATGTGCGGTTGTGATTTGAGCTCCCATAAGAATGTGTCCTTCTTCTCTAGGAGAACATTTGCAGCACATAATGACTTGTGACCAAAAAAGGCAAAAAAGGCAGAGAAAGAAAAAGAGAAGTGGCGGCATACTTAACCTTGATTCTTATCTCTGCTCCCTGCTTCACTAGGGAATTGAACTCAATCTAATGAAGAATTCTGATTAATGAGAAACGTGACAGACGGCGTGCAAGGCTCCATCAGAGCTTTCCTCAGACCTGCAGGAGGCTAAGGGGGTATGCATAAACCACAATTAGTGCTTTACTGATCCTAGAAATTGACCAAAACATCTTCCAGGTTTAAGTCGGCATATTCTCTTTCGTCATGTCTCATTTTGGAAAAGGGAGCAACAGCATGAAAGGATATAAAGCCTTAGTGTGTGATCCTAGCAGGGTTTTCTCTCATCTTCCTTGTCCATGATTTGGGAAATGTGCTGCTCAGATTTACTTTTTACTCAAGTAAATTTGCAGAAACATCCAGCCTCATTATTGATTTAAGTGACACAGCTCCTAGTTTGTTTGCTTGTTGCAAAGCCGCTTTAGCAGACTAGAGCTCTATGTTCGCCCAATCAGCTCCAGCTAATACATCAAACTCCACGCTGGCAGCTTCTGGGCCGTAAGAGAGAATTATTCTGGGAGCTGATATCCAATGCAGGAAGTTTAAGCTCTGGTTGCGTGTGTGAAAATCAAGCGTTAAAAAGTTCAGCTGGAGTCGCTAACAGCAAACGGTTATCCAATAATTGCTGTAAAACTAAAACTACAGTCAGCTGGTTGCTCTGTTTCCAGGCATGGACATTATAGTGTGATTTAAGAGGTTAAAGGTCAAATATCCTATTTATCGCCTGAAAACTCTAAAGCTTAAAATATGAACAGATCGGAAATTGTTTTTGTTGTTTTGTTCATTTAAAAAAAAGAGATAAATTTTAAAGAAAAGTATTTTGAATGTTTTATAGAGGAGTCTTGATTTTTAGCCAACGGGTCTCCGTAGGGAAAACAATTATTAGGTAAATTTCTTTAAAAAAATTCCTGATTTGATTAGCAACCAAATATCTGTTGAACAAACTAAAATGAAGGAGCAGTTTCTCTAAAAAATATATTTTCAGGATTTGGTCCTTGGAGAATCAGGGCAATGTCCCTACGCTCATCCACGATCTGTTTCAAAGATGCAACAGGAAGCAGAGCAACAGGAACCAGAGCAACAGGAACCAGAGCAACAGGAACCAGAGCAACAGGTATCAGAGCATCAGGAACCAGAGCATCAGAAACCAGAGCAACAGGAACCAGAGCAACAGGAAGCAGAGCAACAGGAACCAGAGCAACAGGAAGCAGAGCAACAGGAACCAGAGCAACAGGAAGCAGAGCAACAGGAACCAGAGCAACAGGAACCAGAGCAACAGGAAGCAGAGCAACAGGAACCAGAGCAACAGGTATCAGAGCATCAGGAACCAGAGCATCAGAAACCAGAGCAACAGGAACCAGAGCAACAGGAAGCAGAGCAACAGGAACCAGAGCAACAGGAAGCAGAGCAACAGGAACCAGAGCAACAGGAAGCAGAGCAACAGGAACCAGAGCAACAGGAACCAGAGCAACAGGAAGCAGAGCAACAGGAACCAGAGCAACAGGAACCAGAGCAACAGGAACCAGAGCAACAGGAACCAGAGCAACAGGAACCAGAGCAACAGGAACCAGAGCAACAGGAAGCAGAGCAACAGGAACCAGAGCAACAGGAACCAGAGCAACAGGAACCAGAGCAACAGGAACCAGAGCAACAGGAAGCAGAGCAACAGGAACCAGAGCAACAGGAAGCAGAGCAACAGGAAGCAGAGCAACAGGAACCAGAGCAACAGGAACCAGAGCAACAGGAAGCAGAGCAACAGGAACCAGAGCAACAGGAACCAGAGCAACAGGAACCAGAGCAACAGGAACCAGAGCAACAGGAAGCAGAGCAACAGGAACCAGAGCAACAGGAACCAGAGCAACAGGAACCAGAGCAACAGGAACCAGAGCAACAGGAACCAGAGCAACAGGAACCAGAGCAACAGGAAGCAGAGCAACAGGAACCAGAGCAACAGGAACCAGAGCAACAGGAAGCAGAGCAACAGGAGCAGAATAAATATGGAGGAGCGCAGAGAGGTTTTCATTTCAAAGGCCGAAGCAAAGATAACGTTCTGCTCCAGATCGCTCAAATACGCTCAAAACGTCGATTAAAAATGTTGGATTATAAAATTGGTAAAATAACATTGATTTGATTTAAGTCTACTAAAATAAATTAATAATTAAATAGGAAATGCGAGGCAATGTGAACGGAGCGAAGTGTTACGTTCACAGCTGGGTAACTTTAACAGCAATGGAAAGTTGGAGGGAAGCGGGTCATTTTGAATAGTTGCTACTGTGTATGTATTTATGAAGGACCAACTCTGCCATATTTAAAAATAAATACAGAAATAAATAAATGCTCAATAAATGTATAAGCATACAATTAATTGCCAACAAAAAAGTGAGACATAAATGTATATAACTCTTAATTAGCTTCTTTATTTATTTGCCTTTGTAATATTTACCTTATTTATTTTTCTGTCCTTTATAATCTTCAACTTTATTTTTTAATTACTTATATTTTTAAGTATTTATTTATGTGCATGTTATAATATTTTTGTCTGTTTTATTCTTCCTTTGTATTTTTTTACCTTAGTTATTTCTTCGCCGCTGTTTATTTCTCTCTGCCCTTTTTACATTTCTCTATGCATTTCTGCCTCATTATGCAAATGAGGAGGGGGCGTGTCCTAGAGAGTCAACTTCTGCTCATTGGTTGGCTTGGCGGCCCATCTTCTTAACTCACAGAGCTCAGAGTACTAAGTTAAATGTTCTCTTTTCTGTTGCTGTTGTTCAATAAAAGTACGTTTTAAGATCATTTGAGGCGAGAACCTTATACTTTTAAGCATCACCATATGGCCCATTCACAGATTTAAAAGAAAATGTGACGAACTTGAGAGGACCGCGGCACCAGCGGAGCTCCGAGGCTGACGGCAGCCAGGTCTAACCGCAGCCCGTCTGCAGCGGCCCTCTTTCGGCATAGCCGTGTGTGAAGAATCGCTGGTGATGATGGCGATTTTTTGTTGTATTTGGCAAAGTTTGGCAAAGTCCCTACTCAAGTTCTAATGACTTCAGACTCGACATCAGACTCTCCTCCTGTAGATTCGACCGATGTAGTAAAATGCTAACCAACACGCTTCACACACTGCTATGCCGAGAGAGGGCCGCTGCAGATGGGCTGCGGTTAGACCTGGCTGCCGTCAGCTTCGGAGCTCCGCTGGTGCCGCGGTCCTCTCAAGTTGGTCACATTTTCTTTTAAATTACGCATTAAATCTGTGAATGGGCCATATGGTGATGCTTAAAAGTATAAGGTTCTCGCCTCAAATGATCTTAAAACGTACTTTTATTGAACAACAGCAACAGAAAAGAGAACATTTAACTTAGTACTCTGAGCTCTGTGAGTTAAGAAGATGGGCCGCCAAGCCAACCAATGAGCAGAAGTTGACTCTCTAGGACACGCCCCCTCCTCATTTGCATAATGAGGCAGAAATGCATAGGGAAATGTAAAAAGGGCAGAGAGAAATAAACAGCGGCGAAGAAATAACTAAGGTAAAAAAATACAAAGGAAGAATAAAACAGACAAAAATATTATAACATGCACATAAATAAATACTTAAAAATATAAGTAATTAAAAAATAAAGTCGAAGATTATAAAGGACAGAAAAATAAATAAGGTAAATATTACAAAGGCAAATAAATAAAGAAGCTAATTAAGAGTTATATAAATTTATGTCTCACTTTTTTGTTGGCAATTAATTGTATGCTTATACATTTATTGAGCATTTATTTATTTCTGTATTTATTTTTAAATATGGCAGAGTTGGTCCTTCATATGTATTAGGGCTGCAACAACGAATCGATAAAATCGACTTTTAAAAGCGTTGGCAACGAATTTCATCATCGATTAGTTGTGTCGCGCAATTAATGCATCATCTGCCGCCGCCGTCATCACATCCACTTGACTGAAACGGGGGAAGAAAAAAAATTACGGCAGAGCGAGCCAGCGCCGTGTTGCCAACTCAGTGACTTTGTCGCTATATTTAGCGACTTTTCAGACCCTTCAGCAACTATTTTTCAAAAAAGCGACTAGCGACAAATCTGGCGACTTTTTACGGTGTCACTGGCGGCTTTTGGAGACTCTTACGTGAAAGCATGTATCGTTCCTACTCTTGTCCTCCAGCGGCAGCTGCTGCTGTGGGGCACCTCCCCCATCCCAACCCCGTTCTCCCGCAGGAGTCCCTCTCAGCGCTGCAGTCAGAGCCGCAGGATGTTTACCCTCAGCGTCCAGACTGCAAATGGAGCGCACATGCGCCGGGATTGACGGCACAAATTGATCACAATTATTAAAATAGCCTTTATAAATAAATTATATTATCATAAATAAACTTGCAAATTATGAGGGCAAGGCTTTTAAAGTTTAAATCTTCTGGCAAAGATAAAGTAAAGAAGATCCTGCAATTTATGGAAGTAAAGCAGAATAAAATCCAGCAAGATCAGTAATATGTCAATTAATTATCTGCCACATTCCCATGTAAATATCTGTCTTTGGAGGATGTGTTTTTTTAACACCCCTAGTTCTCTCATTTTTATTCCAAATACAATTTATAATTTGAATCACAGGGCTATTTTTATCTCTATGGTTCAGTATTTTCTCAAGTAGCAACTTTAACTGCTATACTTTCCTGTCTTAAAAGGCAGAACTCTTCTAGTCTAAAAAAACTCATTTGTTGAAATGGGGGGGCCTATTGTTTGAACCCCTTAGAGGCTTTAAAAACAAAAATGTCTTTTTTTGCGCTTCATGAAACAAAGTAGCCTATATTTTGTGGATGTACATCTACATTTCTCATGTCAGTTTGCGTAGTTTTAACACAAACATTTTTTTTTTCATATTGCACCAGGACAGTTAATGAGCACCCTGTACTTGTGTGCTTGTTTGTTCTGTCTAAAATGTTTATTTTGGAATAAAGAGGTTAGTATATAACCTCTTTATAAAATATATAAAAATATATTTTGTCCGATTCATCGATTTTTAAAATAATCGTTAGTTACAGCCCTAGTATGTATATATATATATATATATATATATATATATATATATATATATACCGTAAATCCTCTAATATAGGACGGGCCTTTATTTCACTCAGGTGCATATTGGTCCAGGCAATTATTGGAAGGAGGTCAGAAATAGAGGCAGGCCTCTATTTCTATTTGATCAAAACAGACTACCAGTGGAATGAATAAAAACCAGATTTTGTGTCTTGATGAACTGATAAAATACTACGTTCATTTGTTGAAAAAGTACAGTTACCATTAACGGTACAGAACATTATTCAAACATCTTCCAGCAGCTGCAATTTTTCTGCACGGCAATACGAAGAAAAAAAAGACACAGAATGGAATCTTGGCCAAACTGACTTGCGAAACAAAGTAAAAAAATAAAATAAAATGGAAACTGTTCTGCCATCACAGCAAAATTTTATTTATGGCAGGCTAGGTGGCAATAGGCTACCAGTATCATTTATTTCAAGGGAAATTCAAAACAACGAAGGCCAACGAAATTCTCAGTCATTTTAGCGCTGCCTGGTTACCACCAGACCTGCTGGTAATCACATCTGTCTTTCAGATCAGAACGATTGTGTAGCAGGTTATACTCCTGCAGCAGTGTTGCGCAGTGAGCTTGACGCAGACATTTTTGATTTATGCTCAATATTGAAGCGTGGTCTGCGCTATACGCTGTGGGTCTAGGTACGACCGAGGAGGAGAGGAAGTGGGGGCGAATAGTCCGACAACGTAGGGACATCGGGGCGAAAAACAGCTGGCATCCAGGTGGAAAAAGGGTCCCAGCGTTCTAGCTGTATATATGTATATATATATATATATATATATATATATATATATACACACACACACACTTTTATTTTTAAGTTTGACTATTTCCTTATAATTTCTGCTCTAAGTTAGTTGCTCTGTCAGCCAAAGGCATGTTTTAGTCTCTGCACTCCCATTAACAATGAATTGATTACTAAATGAGAATTATTTCAATAACCAATTAATCACAATTAATCCAATTAATTACTGCAGCACTAATTTGCAATGTATAAAAATAAATGCTTTAGATGTTCCAACTGAAAGAGTGTTAGGATTATTTTTATTGATGATGCGTGAGTCTGTTAAACCCTAATATATAATATAATACCTGCCTGTCTTTATTAAAACCTTAGCAGTTCTCCATGATTTGTCATGAAGTGAAGCACAAAGTGTAGTTCAGCATCGGGTTTAACTTTGTAACAGTCTGAAGTTAAAGCAGAGTTCAAAATGTCTAAATAAAACGATTCTTAATTCATTGTTTTATTATTTGGAGTAGAGATTTAAAACTAGGAAAGAATAAATAAATAAAATCCTACTCAGCACAAACTTGTATCTCCTTTGGCAAGAAATCCATAGCTTTATATTTCTGGTTTAAATTACGTGTGTCTGACAGCTCCATGCTGTGCCTCTTCTTTAGGTCTCTGCAGCCCAAGAAATGCAGAAACAGTATTTTCACACGGCTCAGGTACTTGATCATTTGGCTGAATTCTGCGTCCAACACAGCAGCATAAAGCTGCATATTTCCAAGCTGTGCTAAATCCTGATTTCTGTCCTGTCAAACATTTTAGTGAGAAGCTGTTTAAAACCTGCAGGAGGTAGAAGGTTCCCCCTCCTAGCTCACTCTCTCCTCTCTGTGCTGTCAATCAATCACTCCTGGCACCTCATCAGATGAGTCAATATACTGGACATGTTGGTGCTACCATATGCAGCATGTGTTTCACAGGGTTACACATGCACGCAGTTTCGAGTGGCCTAGAAGGTAACTTGAGGAATCTGGCTTTAAATAATGAAACAACAAACTTAGGAGATTGCACTCTCCTATTTTATTGTTGCAAGCTGCAGGCAGACTAGACAAACACTCTACAAGTAACAACTATTTACGTTTAAAGGAACTGTCCAGCGGCGTAACACTCTTATTTTCCTAATGCTGCTCTCACATATTCTCACA